GTGGAGATCAGTAGAAACAGGCCTTGTTGGGAGTTTAGCTGGTAAGTAAAGGAGCATGACAAAGACTGCTACGAGGCTTTCTGAAATGTTAAACGAAGCTGGAACAAACAGAGGAATTAGCATAGGTTTGTGGTGATACATTAAACATTCCTGTGATCGGACCTGATATCAAGCTCGGGCAGCAGTCCAACAACCAAACAAAGGTGCAACATGTCTGAGCTACCATTTCATAACAAACCAGGGAGCCACAGAATGCAGACTCTGGACCTTAGAGCTCGTCTCGGTGTTCACATCGAGCCGACTCCTTTTGTGCAGCTTTGTTGATGTTGGCTGCAGCCCTGATTGCAGATTTCATGGACGTCTCGATCCAAGCGTGAGGGAAGGCTGTGTGTTCTCCAGCAAAGTGAACCCTGCCTTCATGTCTGAAAAGCTCCTTGGCGTATTCTAAGTGTTGGTAGGGCGTGAAGAGAGCGAAGGCGCCCAGACTGTAGGGGTCCGTGCTCCACCTCTTCACCACCACCCCGGTGCACAGAGACCTGACCTTCTTGCCGTGGATCTGCACCAGGTCTCTCAGAGCTAGCTCTTTGAGGTCTTCATCGCTCGCACCGCTGAAGAGGAGGGAGTCGTCAGACCAGGTGTAGGAAGCCAGGAGGACGCCGATGGTGTTGTTGGTCAGGAAGCTGTGGCTGGGGTAGTAGATGAAACGAGAAGGCCGGTTGGTGATGCTCTTCCCTCCTCGGATGCCGTCTTCCCTCCAGAACTTCTCCTTGAAGGTGAGGATGATTTTAGTGGAGCTTTCATAGTGGACCGCCCTGAGAGCCTCCATCTTTCTCGTGGACAGAGGTGGATTAAACTCTATGAAGAGGGCTGCTTTGGCTGTGGTCGTTACCAGGACGGCATCGGCAGGAAGGTCCGTCAAGTGGGACTGGTGATCTGCCTGATACCTCACAGTTACGCCCTTGTGGGAATGGTCGATGCGTTTGACCTTGGAGTTGAGGAGGATGGGGACATCGAGCACAGGGAGAAAAGCTTTGGGGAGGAGATCTGACCCACCAGTTATTTCATCGTACCTTTGAAAACAGGAGACACATTTATGTTATTAAATCGAGCAAACGTTGGTCCACCAGAGCTTCGTCTTTTCGCTAACCATGTAGCAAGATGATAAGAAGGTATACACAGCACTAGACAATGATCTGTCCTCCAAAGGTAAGGTCCAGATATTATTTAGGAATCTAAACCAGAAATCTACATC